TATAAATATATAAAATATATTTATATATAAATGTGAGTTTGTGTGTGTATACTTACTGCATTATGTTTTAACACAGATCAATTATTTTAAAACTAACACACAGAGAAAATCCTAAGAATTGCATATTCCAGTAGCAAAAAATGTTACGGAGAAGATGAATGTGCCTCTAGACAAAAAAAGAAAAAAGACATGAGACAGAAGGTTACATTGGAACAGAATGCATTAGTTAAACTACATTGCTAATGAACTGACTGAAAAAATGAAGTGCTTGTCTTGTCTCTTTCTCTCTCTCCCTTTTTTTAGTTTAAACTTGGAAATATCTAGCGTATAATATATTCTGGAACTTACCATGCTACTGAAATTGTTGAACCTTATTAATTGTGCTTAATAGGTTTTTAGAATAGAAATATCTAGAAACATATTCTTTTAGTCAGTGATTGTCAATATTGCTGCCTAATAAAACCATAAAATCTAAGCATTTATTTTTCTCAGGGGTCTTCACTTGACTGTGGGACACTGCTCCAGGCAGGGCGCTCTGCTTGGCCTTGTGTTCTGTGGGTCATCCTGGGCCAGGCAGAGCTGGCATCAGGCTCCCTGGGAGGCTGTTCCCATGACAATGGCAAAAGTGGAAGAGTCAGGGCAGGACGTGTGAGGCCTGTAAAGAAAGTAGCACCTGGTCACTCCAACCCTTTCCTCACTACCCAGCACCAGGCACATGGACAAGCCAAAGTTCAACTGTGGAGAAGAGCAATCTCCGCTCATGAGGCCGGGAAATGTTTTGGATGGGGAAGGATAGAGAATGTGGGCCAAGCACTTGTCTGCCATGGGTCTGCATGTGCCCGTCTGTGGTTGTCTGGAGCCTTCACATCTCTAGTGTATCATAGAGGACCAAACATTATCAAAGCAACCTTAACCTCTATGATAGTGTTTGCCTGCAATGTTCCTTTGCTTTGGTGTTCTGTTTTTTAATTGTTACTAGCTCAGACGCATTATACTTGATATATTCCAATTAAAAGAGGTTATTTTTTTCCTAAATATAGATAATTTAAATCTGGCATCATTTGATAGTTTCAGGTAAAGTTGAAATAGATGAAAGTGAGCATAGAGCAATGCACACCTGCATTCTCTAGAAACAATAACAGCAACAGCGGGTGAAGGTTTGGTATAAAAATAACGAGCATGGATAAACAAACATTTGACAGATCAGGCCATGAAAGGACATGGAGGAAACTTAAATGCACATTGCTAAGTGAAAGAAGTCAGTCTGAAAAGCCTATATATTGTATTCCAAAAATATGACATACTGTGTTATCTAGTAAGTAAAATGTTTTGAATTCTATACTAATTTCTTTTCTGAATAACAACTGAAGCTGTAATTACCTAATCTTTTGATGAAAAGATGATAGGAGTCTAGAAAAGAAATAAGAAGATGAGCTAAAAACAGTAGAAGGAGCATATATAGTTCCTGCCAATAGGTGTAATAGTGTTTAGGAATGACACCTTAAAAATGTGTATACTACATGAAATTCAGCATATGAAACTAAATAAGAGATGATGTTTAGACATCTGGTTAAATACCCTCAGGTCTATTGCTGTGGTTGATTTTTAGTATCAGGATATGAATTCTAGAGACTCTTCTTTTTTTTTTTTTTATAAAATCAATTAAGCACTGAAATTCTACTTTTATAGTAAAAGAACGCTTTATAGAAAAATTAAAGAGAGGCAGACACATATTTTTCAAATGTAATTTTTAAGAACACTTTTGAAAAACAATTGATAAAATAACAAATTTCCAAGTGATACTAAAATATTAAGTACTTTATATTATTAAATTATAATTTGTATTATCAAATTGCCCCCTAATACATTTCAATAAAATAAAACGAGGCCTACACTCACAAGATTTATTTAGGGAAAATAGTCAATATATTAAGTGACATGTTCCGTTGCTATTGAAAATGGTCAATTTCTTTTCTCTCAAAGCCAGTAGTAATAACCCCTCAGTTCAGTGACAGAACAAGTGGACCTATTACTCTGTTTCAACTTGATGAAGTGTTCATCAATTTCATACCACAAAAACTGAAAAAGAAGAAAAAAAAGTCCACAAGTGTTCTATTTTGAAATGAACCATTCTCTTTACATTGAAGTCTCATTTACATAAACCATTACATTTTGCTCTGCATTGATTTATAATGTCAGGTGCCAAATTTCTGTGTCAACTCTTAATTATCTCTTTCAAGACCCTATTATTTTCTGCTTTGAATTTTTTTTTTTTTTTTTTTTTTTGATACCATGCGTTTTCATTAATGGAAGCATGCTTAGTCATGGGGTGTGCTTAATTTTTGGTTGGTTATATGGATTTTGAAAAATATTATTTGGGAATACATGAGTCCCATAACCTCAGGGGATTCTCGGGTGCCAGGACTCATGAGTGCCTGTCTGTCCCACTGGTCATGGGTGGCAGGATTTATTATGACACACACACACACACACACACACACACACACACACACACAAACACAACCCAAACCCACCAGAGTTGCCTGTCATAGGGAAAAAAATAAATATGCTTACAAAGCTTATCTAGCTGTACAAAAGCCAACAGAGACAAAATTTTTACCCAGTCACACTTCCTAGATGCACTACCTCACATTGAAAGCTGATACTCCAGCTATTTTGCTTCAGTGAACATTTCTTTCAGCTTTCACCATTACACAAGTGCCTACTGGAGGTCAGTGAAAGCTTTTAGAGGGAAAAGTAGAGTTCCAAGAAACCTAAGGGCTGGAAAAAGAGTGTGGGATACAGTCTGTCCCACAGGTCGTGGAAGGGTTACCCTAATATCAAAACCAAAAACCAGCTGCCATCCAGTCAACTCCGACTCATGCCAACCCTATGTGTGTCATAGTAGAACTGTGCTTTACAGGATTTTCAATGGCTGATTTTTTGAAAGTAGATCAATAGGTTTTTCTTCCAAGGCATCTCTGGGTTGATTCAAACAGCCAAACCTATGCCCAGGCTTAATATTTTGTGCCACCCAGAATCTCCTAATTATCCCAATACAATTCCTAATATTAAGTTGTCACATAATGAAAGCAAAACTGTCTAAAAGAAGCTAAAAAACAAATCCTTATGTGAATTTATATGCATTTAAGTCTGTATTCATAATTTAGGGATCGTAGGGACACTGAGTCTTTATTGGATATTTCACACTTTGATTTATTACTATTATCTGATTTATTATTCACTCTGTTAAATAGCTTGCTTCCTTATATCATACTGTTTGTGAATAAAATTGTCAGATCCAGAGAGAATTTTTCACGCATGTAGCTTTTTAATTAAAAGGAAAAAGATTAGTCAACCTTTTTTCAAGAGATAACCACATGAAAGGAAACTTCTAATTATTCATTACCCGGATTCTTCCCCAGCTGCAAACTCTGGTATCAGAATGAAATGTTGAAAATGAGCTAATACTTGAGGGAAGAGGTTAACCATATAGCTGGTCGTGTCTTAATGTCTAGTGGAAGGAAGAGGGAGACAGAACACACATTCTCAATCACACTGAGTGACAGCACTGTGTTTATACGCACACAAACTGGGGATTAAGGTTTTTCTCATCTCCTTTCTCTCCAAACACTTAAACACTGTACCAGCAGGGAGCCATAGATTGTGTAAACACAGTTTCCCTGTTAATCCCTGCTTCTTAATTTCTAACACTCTTTTGGTGCTCTGCCCTCTGACTTGCTGCTCTGCCTCATGGCTCGCTATCTCTGTCTTTCAGACGACATCCTCTGCAGTGCCTAGCACATGGATTTCAGGACCTCCTGTGAAGAGGTAAGTTCAACAGCCTTTGCTTCTCAAATGAGGGAAACAGCACGCATGCAGAAATATGTAGTTCCCTTTCACATAGCTGGGGCACTGCTTTGGGCAGAAGGATGAATGATGGGCCCGTATCATTTTAGAAGATCTATTTCCTTAAGATTAAAAAAAAAAAAAACAGAGTGCCTTGGGAAGCCTTGGGTTTTAGCTGTTCCTTAAGAAGAGGCCTGGAGCATATTTGACCTGACTGAATTGCTCTTCACCACAAACTATGCACTGGATGATTTCAGATACTGGAAGTGTTGAAAGTTATTCTGATCACATAAATGGTTATAAATTAAAAGACATCTAAGATGACTTTCAGCACTAAAGTCCTGTGATGATACAATTTCAATAAAGTTTAAGTATTTTAATATTTAAGAATTAGTACATGGCAATTCAGATTCTCTTCAGAGATGTCACACTTTGGTATGAGTTAAAGTTATGCATTCTTCTTTCAAGGATGTTAAAGGACATTTAAGTGTGCAGTTCAGCAGTGCATGGATGTGGGCCCCAGGGAGTATAACCTTTCTATTTTAGAAAGAAACATTTGTTTTTTACTAAACACACAATATTCAAACCATTGTCTTCTTACTCTTCCGGCAGAATTGAAATATTCGTAGGATAAAAATACCCTGCATCTACTTAAAGTTTAGAATAATCCAATGAAAAGACAGTAACAACTGTATTACCTGTGGCAGAGATAAAAACAAAAACTTTAGTTCTTAACATTTGTGAAGATTGTTCTTTCACTGAAATGTCATGAGTTTAATTTTATTTTGTACACATTCATGAAAAACAATTCATTATTTTCCTCTAAGGCAATTTCAGAAATGTATAGACTTTAAAATTCATCAAAATTGGTACAAAGTTTGGGGCCCTGGTAGTGCAATCGTTAAACGTTTGACTGCTAACTAAAAGGCTGGCAGTTCGAATCCATCAGCCATTCCTTGGAAACCCTATGGAGCAGTTCTACTCTGTCCTAGAGGGTTTCTAAGAGTCCGAATCAACTCCATGGCAATGGGTTTTACGGTACAAAGTTTAGAATGTAAGCAAAAGTTTTTTTTAGAAAATTCATAAATTGATTTTATGTTTCAATTCTTCAAGTTCCTTTTCATTAAAAAAATCAGTATGATAGTACCTCATACATATCTCTATTCTAACGCTTTTCAATTACATCATAGTTATTTGTTTATAAAACTCTCCCACCTCTAGACTGAATACAATCAGGTCAGAACATATGACTTCCTCACCTTTTTAACTCAGCACCTACCAGTTCATCAGTTTTTTAAAATTAAATTAATATTTTAGAAGCTTTCCATACTATTTATTTTTATTATTATTATTTTTGATTATACTTCAGGTGAAGGTTTACAGAACAAATAGTTTCTCATTAAACAGTCACTACACATATTGTTTTATGACATTGGTTAACAACCCTACAACATGTCAACCCTCTGCCTTCTCCACTTTTTTCTTTTTGATGAAAATATACATAGCCAAGGATACATCATTTCAAAAATTTCTATATGCACAGTTCAGTCACATCGACTACGCTCTTCCAGTTGTGCTGCTATTCTCACTTTCGATGGTTTACAGAACAAAATAGTTTCTCATTAAACACTTAGTACACATGTTGCCCTGTGACAATGGTTAACAACCCCTCTACACCGTCAACACTGTCCTTACTCAACCTTGGGTTCCCTATCACCAGCTCTGCTGTCCCCTTCTGCCTTCTAGTCCTTGTCCCTGGACTGCTATGCCTCATTAGTCCCATTTTGTTTTATGGGCTGTCCAATCTCCGGCTGAACGGTAAACCTTGGGAGTGACTTCACCACTGAGCTAAAAGGATGTCTGGGAGCCATACTCTCGGGGTTTCTCCAGTCTCTTTTAGGCCACTAAATCTGGTCTTTTTTCTGTGTGTGTGTTAGAATTTTTTTCTACATCCTTCTCCAGCTCTGTGCAGAACCCTCTGTTGTGATCTGGGTCAGAACAGTCAGTGGTGGTAGCCGGACACCATCTAGCTGTACTGGACTCAGTGTGGTGGAGGCCTTGGTAGCTGTGGTCCATTAGTCCTTTGCACTAATCTTTTCCTTGTATCCTGTTCTCTTCATTCTCCCTTGCCCCCGAAGGGGAAAGATCAGTGGAGTATCTTAGATGGCTGCTTACATGCTTTTAAGTCCCCAGAGGCTACTCACCAAGGTAGAATGTAGAACATTGTCTTAATAAACTGTTATGCCAATTGAGCTAGATGTTCCCTGAGACCATGGTCCCCACAGCCCTCCACCCAGCAATTCAGTCCCTCAGGGACTTTGGAAGTGTCTATGGAGCTTCCATGACCTTTCCTTATACAAGTTGTGCTAGTTTCCCCAGTATTGTGTACTGTCTCAACCCTCACCCAAGATGCCACTTATCTATTGCCTATTTAGTATTTCCCCCCCATGCCGCCCATCCCTGGTAACCAGCAAAAATTGTTACTTTTTGTGTGTGAACTTCTTCATGGGTTTTTACAATAGAGGTCTCATACAATATTTGTCCTTTTGTGATTGACTTATTTCACTCAGAATGATGTCCTCCAGTTTCATCCAGGTTATGAGATGCGTCACAGATTCATTGTTGTTCTTTATCATTGCATAGAACTCCAGTGTGTGTACGTACAATAGTTTGTTTATCCATTCGTCTGTTGATGGACATCTAGGTTGTTTCCGTCTTTTTGCTTTTGTGAACAATGCTGCCATGAACATAGTTCTGCATGTCTATTTGAGTGACTACTCTTATTTCTCTAGGATATATTCCTAGGAGTAGGATTGCTGGATGGTATGGTATTTTCTATTTCTAGCTTTGTAAGGAAGCAACACATCATTAGCCAAAACGGTTGTATCATTTTGCATTCCCATCAGCAGCGCATAAGAGTTCCGATCTCCCCACAGCGCCTCCAATATTTGTTATTTCCAGTGTTTTTGATTCGTGCCAGTAATGCCGGGGTGAGATGGTATCTCATTGGGGTGAGATGGTATCTCATTGTGGTTTTAATTTGCATTTCTCTAATGGCTAGTGATCAAGAGCATTTCCTCATGTGTCTGTTGGCCGCTTTAATGTCTTTTTTGATGAAGTGTCTGTTCATTTCCTTTGCCCATTTTTTAATAGGATTATTTGTCTTTTTGTTGTAGAGGTGTTGGATTTTCTTGTAGATTATGGA